GATCTACCCTGAATTGTTTTTCTCTAAATGTCTTGCTTCATTCAGAAAGGTCACACAAGTAAAATTATTTGTGAATGTGGTTCAGTGATGACCTTTTTTCGTGGTTGACGAACTGAAACAGTGAAAATGAAGAACAAAACAGACACCAACGCAAACAAATAGTAAACTCAAGTCCTACCTGTGAGGACAACGGGGACTGAAGAAATGCCATTCCATTCTTGGGAATTTCGATCCGATAACCAGGCGGTAGAAAGGCATTAAACCCCAGGACAAGGTCAGGATGCCCGTGGAAGAGCTGAGAAACTCTGTTGATAACTCCTGGTGTGTCAATGCTGCGGATGGAGATATCAGAAATACAATCACTGAGGGCTTTTTGAGCAATAAAGCACATTTAAAGTGCACAGACACCTACATACCTTTGAGATTTAAACTCCTTCATGATATCCAGAAACTTATTGTATATTCCCGGATCATTTCCGAACCGTATTTTGACTTGGTCCAAGTAAGATAAGGCATCCTCCACCTGCAACAGATGCAAATCTTGTTTACCCAAATTATGTTTCCAAACAACATAATACAATATATATACACACGCAGTTACAAAAGTACTCTGGTGGTACCATGGTACAGTATAGGTATGGTACGGTAATAACATGTATTTATGTCAGTTACTTTTTTGACAGGAAGTACCTTGGAGCATAATGCAAAGATACATGAATTTCACTACCATGGTATACCATGCTACACCATACTACTGCCACAGTACTTCTTCTAAGGTACGCTGAAGAACACCATGGTGGTATTGTGCCAATTTTCTGACTCTGAAAGGACCGATGTGGGACATCAAGTCCATTTCTATTGTGGAGCCACATCACATTGAATGACTTAGTAACACATTGTCTACATTATTTGAATTATGCAAGAGAAACAAAAAAAGCACCGTGAAATCTAAACCACTACACACATACAAAACGCAAGTTATTCGATTTTTCCTCTCGGTTCACAAGAACAAAACCCAACGAGAGAAAAAACACACACGCCTAAATACACCTTCAAGATAAAAAGAACAGTTACAATGTCCTACCCAACCACTTCGAAGCAGAAAACTGACCCAAATCAAGCGGTCTGTGAGAGAAAACAAACATCCGGTTTATATTCTCTTTGTGGTTTTATTCATATTCAGTGAGGAAAATAAAGGCTCAGACTCTTTTAGCTTTGCTGCGTTAGCACTAGCGCTAGTCACAACACACAACAACCCCGCTACGATTTCACAACAAAAACAAACAAAACGCGATTCACACGGCTTTTTAACAGAGAAACGCTTCAGATATGCGTAACGTACACTTTTCATTTCTTTCAAAGGTCGGGTTCAAACGAAAAGGGGCACATTTATGACAAAAGCAGCTGCTAGCAGAGCAAAACCCCCTTCTTTCTCTTACGTTACGTCAATTATATAAAATGAACCGGGTTAATCTAAAACAAACGGAGTGTGAAGTGTGATTTTTGGCGGAGCCACAATAAATATCCACCGGTTTTGGTTTTAACAAAGAGCAGCGGTGAAAACACGACCGCGTAAGGAGAAAACATTAGACTTTAATTCAGCAGATACACTTCCATCATGTTTGACTGGTAAACTAGCAGTGCTAGGAATCTGTGCGTTAAGCGACAGCAAATCGACTTTTCCAGCTTGAAATGTAAATAAGTGCGCAAGATTTTCAAATCCATTTACACACACTCAGTGTGAATGCTTTGATATGCTGCATATGAACAGCACAGCACTTCCTAATACACAATGCGTTGTAAGAGAGAAGGAAACACATGCACTTGCTGCAATGCTTCTTACCTTTAGTTTCTGAAAGTGC